GATTTTAGCAGGCTTTATGTTTAGCAGTGTTTAGTATTTGGGAGGTTTTGGTGAGTCAATCATCTGACTTTAGGTAAGTGCGTTAGTTATCTATCTTCTTCTATTACTGTTCTTCTTCTGAACAGTAATAATTTCAAATTTCTTCTCGGTGTAGATGAAAGCTGTAGCTCAGATAGGTCCTATTTGTCTTTAGTTTGGAAAACAAACAGAAAGTACAGCAAAGCCAAGTTTAAAATATCTTTACAAGACAAATCAATGAGACCCTTTAAAAGCAGTTATATCAGTGTCATCTCATCACTGACTTCGAGAACTTCTCTGACATGAATGGAGCAGGGATCCTAAGAGCAAGTGAAGCGAATTGCATTCTCTTCAAAGTACTTTAGGCACGTCATTCTTAAAACACAGGGAAATGCTTTCTGAAGGAGGCTAGTACTAATTCCTTACTGGAAAAAAAGAAACCACTGGTATTGATACGAAGCCACTGGTAATCCTATTGAAGAATTTTTGTGCTAATCTTAGAGTCTCCATTGCTAAAAATTTCCCAAATAAGAGAAGGTTAGGGGTTAGGCTTATCAGTTCCAAAATTAATATTGACCAATACCAATTACGCTTACAATGTTTTTTTCAATTTGTTTTATTCTTTATCAATCATTTAAAATTGGTGTCAGGTTAGAAAGACTGACTCCATCGAGATGCTGCTGTTTCTACCGGACAGGAGGCTTACAAAGGAAAAAAAAAAGATTAAAGAACAACCCCCTTCCTTTATTATAGGAGTTAGCAGAAGAGGAGCTCCATCTCACTTGCGGTTCTCCATTGAAAAAGAGTTATTCCTAAGCTCAATTTCAGTGAAGTCAAGTCAGAAAAGGTCTAGAGTAAATCAAATCCTTATGTTACTTACCTCAGCAACTTTCAGCTGAATTGCCATATGACCATTATTCACAACTGTTCGACGTTACAATTTCATCATCATACCAGTTTCTCAGCCCCCCCCCTTCCCCCCCCCCAGTCTTTAAATTGAGGTTCTCCAACTAACGGAATTTCTGAGACTGCAGATGATTCTTAACCTTGCAGTTTTCATCAGTATTGTCATCACCCACCACTAGTCTGTACACTTTGTCCTGACAGAAGTAGTGTATCATCTCCACCTTCAGCACAATATAGATAGCAGGATTATGAGGTATCAGGTGCTGCAGTTGAAGAGCTTAATTGACAGTAGCATATTTCACAGATTCCTTGAGAAGCTTAGGCAGAGAATGGTTATTTTTGTTCTCATTGAAGTAATCCAAGAAGTGCTTATTCTAGGACTCTTTTTTTTGGACTTTTTTATATCTGATATCAGATTTAATTAGTTAATCCTATTTAGTCCTTTGGTTTACTTCACGTACTCCTAGTACCTCTACATTTAACTGCTTTGATGGACTCTACTTCAATAGTGTAGAAGAATCATGCCCAAAAAATGTCCTGGGTTTTTTTTTTGATAAATAGGAGGAAGACATCTTCTCCATTAATGAACAGGGAAGATGTGATTTTCAACGATGTTAACTATTTCCATTCATGGCAATATTTCCTTTTCTAGACTATCTTCTTTCTAAAAATCTCCGCATTGCTTAAATAAATTTAAATGCAGTTTAGCCACTGATATTTTTTTTTTTTTCACAATGATTACAATACGTAATACTATCAGTTAAAGAGCCTTCTCCATCCTGGTTTTGTGCCACATTGTCTTTGTTTTGATTTCCTGTTGTGTTTAGAGTAGGACCTTTTTATGATTGGCTCATTTTTCACTTGTCAAGAAGAGCAAGATAAATGAATGACATGGATGGCCTATCTCAGAAAGAAAAGATCACTTCATCATAGCTTTCTCATGAACACTGCATCATAATTTCATATTAATTAGTGTTATTGGTGGTTGTTTTTTTTCAATTCAAATGACATGGCATTCCCGTGACTTAGCTTTTGGACAATCTTCATGACTACTGGTAGTATCAAAAAAGTGAAGGTACAGTAGTTAGCGTTTGAGGATAAGCACGAACATTTTTTGAGAATATTACATTCTGTTGTTTGGGCAGCTAACCAAATTCTGTCTGTGCACTTGAACGGTGTTGATGGCTGCTTGCAAGTAATTCAGGTCTGGACACCTGTAGGGTTCCTATTTGTTCCTTTGTATGTTTTTTACAGAGCATTATGTCTTATGGCAATGCCTGTTCAAAAATTGTAACTTTGGGAAAGTGATGCTGCTTCTTCATCTGAGACCCTCTTGTGACACTTCCTGACCTTAGGGGACCAAGTGGGGACCCTGATGTCTAGCTACAGGTGAGAGGGCTGTTTGTTTATTACATGTTACTATACAACACTCCTTCCTCTCCAGGGCTGTGTGCCTGAAATGAGGGTATGCCCTGTTACCTCTGAAGGTGCTGGAAGTTGTGCTTAGAATATGGATTTTTGTTTAAAAAAAAATCCACCGCAGAGCACATTCATGGCACTTTTTGATGAGCAATGTCATGTTCTTATCTATTTACCCTAAATTCCTGCAAAACTTAAATCATTTTAAGGTAAAAAAAACCCCAACAATAGTGATATCTAAAGCAAATAACGCAGTTAAAAATGTCTATAATAGATGTAGGTGAAGAAATGAAAAAAATCCCACACCTGTTTAACCTTGGCATAGCTAGTTGAAATCAGAAAGCTCTAACCCTTACCCACCTAGTGCATTAATTTAAGAAAAGAGAACAGTGATTGATATTCTGAGAAAGTTGATTTTTGTATGTATTTCACTGTCTGTGCCTCTTCCCCATTATCTCGTTGTGTGTATGTGTCTGGGTTTTGATTAGTGAAGGAACTGAACTATGTCTTCAGTTGCTCCCTGTGCTGCTTTGTATTTCAGGTGGGCGACAGAAGGAAAGATAGTTCAGATAGTTACGGGAGCTGGGATGGCTGAGGAGCTACTGATCAGCTAAAGAATTCCACCTTGTGATGTTTGCCCCTGGGTTGAATGTGTGCGGACACCACAGCTTAAGAAAAGCTTTGAGCTGAGAATCTTCATATCTTTTCAATTTCGAGGATAACTTCTGTTATTTTCAGTTCTAGAGGAGATTCTCAGTTATATTGATGAAGAGAGATTATAGAAATCTTAACCATATACATTTTTTAAAAGTTACTGGCACTTGTGCTTTAATTTAAGCGTGTTCTTAAATGCTCTGTTGGGCTTCTGTGCGGGTGATAAAATTCTTTGTGTTCTGTAAGTGTAGTCACAAAACTTTTAGTTCTAGGAGTATGTTATAAAAAGTATATAGAAAAGTGAAGAAATGTTGTAGGTACAGAATGTCACGTTTGCTGCTCTGTACTAGATTTCTTACCCTGTGGAAGTGTTAGGGAATGCATGTGCAAAAATCAATTAAGTCTAGTAATTTAACAAATTGTAAAAGATCTGTGATATAAGAAGAGTTCTGTGATTACAGGTTCTTGCATCTGTATGCCAGCACTAAATACCTCCCAACTTGAGGTAAAGAAAACATTCACTCATGTCCTAAGGGCTGAATGGTGCTGTCACAGCATCGGTGTTCTCAGCTCTGCTTGGGAGTCCCCATGCGCAGAGGACAGCTCTGCATCCCACTTACTGGGCTTGTTTGACTCGGGGACTTCCTGAGCTCCTTTCACCACATCATGGGAAATCTGCCCTGCACCCAGCACTGCGGGAGCCATTGAGCTTGGGGAGGGTGCCAGGAGCCAGCCAGCGGGATCGGAGGTCTGCCCGTCAGACTGGAAGGGGAGAGTTCACTGTAATTTCAACAAAGCTATGAAGTTAATGTCTTTAAGTTAATGTTGGAAAAGCAGTTGGAAAAAACCACCTACACCGAGGTTTAATGTGTGTACGTTATCAGCATCAGCTGATTTGTAGTAACACTTCTGAGCATACTGAGGCAAAGATAAATGCAGACTTCGCTCGTTAGGTGACATTTGTTAAAGGAATTTCAAGATTCCATAAAGATTGTCATATAATTAGGATTTACCGGCTTGCTTTAGAGGTACTGTTAGTTCTTTAGGTAATTGATGAAAGAAATTACAGTGTTTCAGCAGAAAGCATATTGCAATTGCAGCAGTCCATTTCTTTTTTCAGTCCATTTACTGATGAATTTGCAGTTCTCATTTCAGTTTAGGTGAAGTAATAATAAACAAAGGGTAGAGTTTATCTCCATCCAGAATGTTGTAACACAGTAATAATAGCAGGCATATTTGTTCTCATCAGCTTGGGTTCCATTTTCTTATTAATGGCAGTAAAATTTACAGTCTGCAATTAATCATTTGGAAGCAACAATAGTGTAGAACCTTGTTCAGTTTTATTTCAGTTTATTAGATTTTAAATTCACATCGTTGTTGGTTTGGGTTTGTTTATACTTGCCATGGTCATGATCCCAATTTTTCATTATAAGATGCAAGTATTAAGTGTTTACTGTAAGTTCTGTCATTGCTTTTGAAGGTGCTATGTCAAAAGGGAAAAATAGCCACTTTGAACCTGTGTACAATTTCTGTGAACTTTTTGTCTGACAAGAGGTACTTACAACAGCATTTTCAGTTGCCAGCAACAGCGTTGGAAAGAAAATAATGTGCATAAGTCATTTCATATTATGTGAAGTGGATATTGGCTTTGCTGGGCTGGAGTTCCCCAGCATGCACTTTCTCAGAACCTGTTCTTTACATGTGCTACATGGTATGAGCTTTGCATTTTATGATGCTGGGAGAATTATAAGTAGTAAAAATACTGCATACTTTAAAGCAGTGCTTGTCTAACCTGTTCTGCTGAACTCGGTGTCTTGGCAGAGCAGAACTAGCTATGGCTTTGAGGAACAAGAAGTGGATAAGAGACATTGTAATTATTTGGTTTAAAATAATACTCTTTTATCTTTGCATGTAGTTAGCTGGTATCATTAGGTCATGTTCAAAAAATATTATTTAGATCTTGATCTAAGTTGAGTTTTTTCTTTTTTTTTTTTGTCCTTCAGTTTGTAAGACTTGTATTGTTCAACACTTTGAAGACAGCAATGACTGTCCCAGGTGTGGCAACCAAGTGCATGAGACCAATCCACTAGAAATGTTAAGGTAAGATGACATTGTACAGCATTTGCGGTAATGGAAGAACAAAAAATAATTATAAAAATTAATCTTAATATCTTTATCTTGAAAGGGAATTAAATTTTTTGTTTATTTGTATAACATATATATCAACTGTTCTTGGCCATAGATTCTGTCAACTTTTCATCTCCCAATAAATTGTAAATCAAGTGTTTTCAGATGTAATAAAAGGAGGAAAGATAAGGGAAAGACACAGCAGTGCTGGGTATATTGTACAAATTAAAACTAGTATTTTAATACCGCTATTAAACAAAGAAATTAACCACATACCTTTTGTCCTTTACATGAAATGAAGTTCTAGACTTTCTTTTTTCAAACTATTTAGGGCATTCCAAACTACATGCAACTTTTTTTTTCTCTTCTTAGAGTAATGCAGAAAATGAATCATGCAAATAACTGAATGTTTTCCAAGGGGTCTGTTTACCAATCTGAATTGAAATCTGCTGTCAGATTAAAGAAAAGACACTCATGAAAGTTTTGACACTGAAAATGCCCTTTCTTGAGAGTTTGCATTTTTTATATCACAGCAACTAATCTCTGTTTAAACAATTATTTTTCTTGAAATTCTGGATTCTCTTTTAGTGATGTTATGCTGAAACAAAGGTGATAGCCTAGTATGGAGAAATCAAGAAATGTCATCATAAGTGGAAGAACTTTTCCTAAAAGAATGAAGCCACTCCTTGCCCTCATTCCCAACGCTCCCTCCACCTCTTCCCCCCCATACCAGTATTATTAGTTTGCAATTAGAATTTAGGAAAAAATATTCTTACATCAATGTTAGAAGAAATATTTACATCTGGAATTTACTAGGGTTAGTATAATTTCCTAAAATCATTGGTTTTGCTACAATTTGTCATATTTTGCTTTTATTTTTATGACTGGTGTGTGCAGAGCAATTCCCATACTTCAGTTATATACCAAGAGGATAGGTGAGAGAAATTAAATTCAGCAACTCTAAAGGGAGTCATTAGCTTAAGGCTTTATCATCTAAATGTTTTTGGAAGGGTAGGGCTAAATGGTTTGTGTGGATGTTTACCATAAGTATTTTTCTGATCTCCTGTCAGTGTCTGGGGCACTGTGTCAGCCACAACAGAAGAAGCTATATAGAGTGCATAAGGCTACTAATAAGCATTTTAGAAATATTTCTTTTATTCTGACAGTACCATTTCATAGGAGCTGAAAAAAGCATTCTCTGAAACATCTAGTAGATGTTTAGTAAAATAATAGCATGCTAAAGCAGGAAATGATAGAAGGGTGAGAAAAGTTGTGACCACAAGCCAGAAATGTGGGAAAAGCTATTTTGTCTGTGATTATTTCCTCAAACTGCTTTTACAGTCATCGGGTTTATTTGCCAACAAACTGCATATAACTAGGATCTTGCTGGTTGTATTTTATGAAACAGTTTTAAACATTTGCTAAACTAATAATCAGAAGAGCATACAAGTAGCGTAATGGAATTATCTTTTTTGGATGTTGCCTGCATAGCTTAATACGTCTTACTGCAGATACTTAATACGTCTGACTGCAGAGAGACCAGCCCCATTATTGCTCAAGAATGCAGTCATTCTCTGAGAAATGGTGTTGAACACTCAAGATAGTATTTTTAACTGAGATCTTTGAGATAAACTTTATAAACAACTTTATAAACTCAATTCTGAATAACTTCATAGAATCATAGTATCGTTTAGGTTGGAAAAGACCTTTGAGATCATCAAGTCCAACTGTTAACTTCATAATTATGTGAGCTTTTTAGATGTATCTTCTAGTTGGCAGCACTTAGAGTCTGTTGAAACTATAAGCCTAAGTCTGAAATTCAACATTGAGCTCTAAAATGAAAATCCGGGAAGAGTGTTGAATTCCAGAATTCCCTTTCCTGATATAGCAGCAGAATTCTGCATCAGCGATATTCAGTTGCGTCTGGGTCGGTTATACTGTGAAGGCAGGCTTCTTTTTCTCTTGGTAGCGTCTTTCTTTGGATGCAAGTTGTCCTGAGTGATACTCTTCGGTTGCTTCACTTCACATAATTAGCAATTATCAGCAAGTAGCTTTGATCTTGTAACTCATTCAATATCACAGGAGAGGTGAAAAGAAACTACATGGAGATGGCAAATGCTTGGTTCTTCTTTATACACATTCTGATTTGGAGGTTGGAAGATGGGGGGGGAGGGAAGAGGTGTGTCTAAAATATGAATGTTCTTGTTTCAACTGTAACAGGAAGTATCAAATTAAGTGACTGAGACCAACTTTGGAGTTATGTCAAGTAGTTTCACTTTGGAACAAGTTTGATGCGAGTCATAGAAATTCAAATCTTTGCTACAGAGTGCTCATGGGCATGGATAATAGGAACACCGTAAGATGCATCTGAAATTGAGAATCTTTTTAATTTCCTAAATTTTTTTCCCTATAGTTTTAGTTTCCCCGTACTTAAAGATCAGATAAATGTTATTTTTTTTCTGCACTTTTTAAAATACTAATTAGTATTTAGGCTTCCTAAGGACAAAATAGCTCTTTTTGTTCAGTTTTTGAAATAAAATAAAGTCTTTGACTAGAGTATGAAGCCTGGTTTTGCTGCTAGCATCGCTTGACTGGTTTTCTTGCGATGTTGGCATGACCAGCGACTTTTCTTTTTCTAATTCATCATTGAAGACAAATTAGAAAATGCTAAGTGGAAATTTTCAAAAATAAATGTAGAAAAACCAGCATGTGTTATACTATCCTGAGGAACGGTTAGTGGGATTTTGAATTAAGGTAGTAATGTTCTCTTTTGAAGTCCTTATTTCTTTTCTCTTAATGAGTACATTATGAAGATTGGAGCTTTCTTACAATGTGAAATGAATTCCATCTCCAAGACAGGTTCCCAAGTTCCCAGTGCTCTGCTGTGGGAACTTCATAGAGAGCAGTACCATCTAGTTGCATTAGCTATTGAGAGGAGAGGCTAGAAGAGTTAACATAACATTTGGAAAGGTAGACCTGTATTGTCATCTATTAGAAGATAAGTCCTCTGACATCCCATGAATTTGTTTTTCTTCGAATCTGTGAGAAAGTGCTCTCTACGCTGCTTTGGTTTAGGGGAGGTGGGTTTCACTTGCTGAATATTTTTTTTTTTTGTTCTTATTAGAAGCAGCAATTTAAAAATTGAAAAAGTCATAGCTTAAATGTGAATATTCTTATGGTATGAATGTGCCCATGAACTGATACATAACATAAGGAATTAGTCTCAAAACAAGATGATTGGGTAATAAGTCTAATTGTAAACTTTTAATTAAAAATACAAATTCTGTAAAGAGAATCTGGAATGCTTATATATTTATTATAAGGTGATAATTGTTATCTATTAAAATGGCTTTTAGGCATTCCTCAACAATAAAATCATTCAGTCTTCTTCCTACTTTGCTGTTGCTAGTGAACAAAAGATAAAGAACAGTTATGTGTTTTAGAAGAGGCCTATGGTGCATCAGTAATAACATCTACACATACATATTTGCATATATACATACATGTATGTGTACAGAGAGACATATATCATTATTGAGATGAAAAATGAAGGCAATGAAAAATATAAGAAAAGCAATTATTGTATTGTAGGTTCTGACTGAATATCAAGGTACTTAATTTCTCTGGCAGTAGTACTTAGTACTTTGTTTTGTCATGGGTTTCTGTTTAGGCTGGGGGCAGTGGGAGATGCTGTTTATAGGATGTAGAGGACAGAGGAGAGAAAGGAAAATGAGACAGAATGAGAGACAGAGGACACTGAAGGATAAGTGAGGGAGGGAGAGGGAGTGGAACTACAAGGGGGATGATAAACTAAATGAATAGGAGAATAGGTAAAATTAAGAGAAAGGCAAAGAAAAATATTTTAGCTTCAACAAAAAAGGTAAATGCACAGTGTCCTCTGGAGGGGACTGTAACAGCTATTTTTGGTGGTACTATAGAGAACGATAGATCGTTCCCGGGTACCGGAGGACATGCCTGTGCTGTGTACTGTTGTCCGGTAGACAAACCCATGGCATATTTAAATAGTTTAAATGAATTAGGTTGGGTACCGGGAACTGTCTAGCCAGAGCAGCATGGATGCTCTGTGGTTTTCTTTATCCTGCCAAGATTTGTTTGTCTGTGTTGTAATGAGTAGGGAATAGTCTGTTCAGGTTTTCATAACAGTCTTATTACAGAGCACTTGAACACTTAGTATGATAACGGAGTTTATACTTTTCATGAATACTACTCATGATGTGGACCTTAAAATTGGATCCTACTTTTCCAGTTTGTTCTTTTTAGTAACACAAATTACAACAATGAAAATTTTAGAGTATAATGTGTGTTCTCTTCAGCTTCATTTTTGTCTTTATACATTGAAAAAATAAATTCCTTACTTATTTCTAAAAGAAATCAGTTCAGGAGGTGGTTGAGATAAGCTTTTAATGCATGTTGTCTCTCAAGCTAAAATCAATTGGGTTTTTACGTGATGTAGTATTTACCAAAAATATGCAGTTCGTTTTATTATTCAAACGGTTTTGTTGTTTAAAGGCTAAAAATATTTAAAATGCTCGTTTCTACTTAATGAGAAATGTAATTTTTTTTCCCTTTGAAAGGCTGGATAACACCTTAGAGGAAATTATATTTAAGCTCGTGCCCGGACTTCGAGAACGTAAGTTTCTGATTTGGTACCTGTTTGGGTTGATGGAGGGAATATGGCCGTTTCTAATGATTTACCTGTAATATTGATTTAAAAATTCACATTACTGTTCTTTGATGTTAACTAGAGGAACTGCAGCGAGAGATCGAATTTTGGAAGAAAAACAAACCTCAAGAAAATGGACAAGGTGATGATTTTGTTCCCTCTCTTATCTGTATGTTAAGTAACATTGCTCATTAAGCCCTGTTTCTTCACACACTGCTGCATGTACATTGTTTTTACTGAATTTAAAGAGACTACAGAAATTTATAACAAATCTGTGTAAATGTCTTCATGTACTGCTGCTTACGTATTAACCAGTTGTTTTACAAACACTAGCTGTTTTACCATTATTTTTATTTACAGTACCCTAAGCTCTTAATTTCAACACTCATGCAGTTTTCCAGTTGAATTCTTAATTTTCTTGATGCAGCAAGATGCAGAACTACTTGAGTTTTTTACAGATTATTTTCTGTTAGTGAATTTGACCAGCTGTTAAGTAGGAGGTTGTCAAGAATTAGTTATGACAAGTAGTAAAACAGTTTTCCACACACGCTAAACAATTCTTTTATATAGATTCCAAAATGCTTTTTCTCTTTTTTTTGTAGTTGACCCATGAACTTTGAGAGCTCAGTATTAAAGTGCTAAGTGAGGACTACATCCAACTGTTTTTATGCCCCTTTAATTTGACATCAAGATTTTGATATCATAGCCTATCTGATTTGGGCATTTTTAAGAATTTTTGAAGGGCTCTGCTAAGCTAAAGAAATAGCTAGTTTTAGTAAAGGATCGCTGTCAACTAAATGTCTTGCAATACTCTTCTGCACTCAATTGTTTATAATATCTTCTTTTCAATTTCATAACGTTTTGTTTTCTTTTTCACTACTTTTATTGATTTGCATTTGGCATGCATTATAAGGGACAAGGTTCTTTTCTCTGTTGTATAATTAAATGAAGAACTGCAGGACATTTTAGATGAAACTGTATTAGTTTACTACAACATACTGTGTAGTGGATACCTATTCAGTTTTTAAAATACTTAAAAAATATTTTTATGAAATATAGAGATTTGTTAACTGTTTAGAAAACTATTTTCTGCTATATACATAGAAAGAAAAAAAATATATGATTTCCAAATTTGTAGAACATGACTTACTTATAACCAACTTATTCTTCTGGTTATTACCTTCCTCCCATAATTTAATGGTAAACCTAACAGAGATCAGTTACTAAATGTAATGAGTGATTGGATTGTTTTGTGAATCAGAGGAAAGCTCTAACTCTTCTATGTAGCTACAGATATACCAAGCTCTGTTAGGGACTGTATCCTTGGGCTATGGAAATTGGGCTCTACAAATGGTTTGAAAGTTGTGACAATTAATTGAGACAACTTATGAACATTTAAACTATTTTCTGCCATAAATGAGTATTTAGAATCTTGCCTGAGAATAAATTACTCGGTGAGAATAATTTCAGTAAGAATGGACTGTTTCAGTTGTCGATGCCATGCCCTGCAATCACATAGTCAGTCTAGTTCAAAAGAGTCAGTCAGTTATGTCCTGTACCACAGGTCACAACACGGTTCGCAACCTTAGCATTGAAGATCTGTAAAAAAAAAAAAAATAATCCAGGGACTTAAAAATTTCTCATATCAGAAGAAAAAAAAAAAACAAAAACAAACAAACAAACAACAGAGCCTATCTGGGGCATTGGTGACTCCACTGGGAGAGGTGGTTGCTAGAGAGAATTCCTGGATGATCATAGGAAACACACTGTGGTACAGAGAAAAAAAGTATTGGTCCTCTCCAGTATGAACTGGAGAAGGAAGAGGGCAAACAGCTTTACTTTGAGTCACTCTCTGGTGATCGGTTTTACACTGAATATCTGAGAAAAGCATAGGAAGTAGACAATTTCAAAGTTTTGCAAGAAAGATGAGAAAAAAAATGAGACGCCACTTTGCGCCTTAAGGAAATAGGGGTGGAGGTGGTGGGGTGTTGGTTTGTTTTTCCTGTCATCTGTTCTTGGCGCAATGCTTTTGACTTGGAGAACACCAAGTCCATTTTGGTGAGATTAAAATTTCTTTTTTCTTTTTTTTTTTTTTAAACTTCTATCATATTACATTTTAATAACATGCCTCTAATGGACCATCACATTGATTTCTGGAGGCTGCCTGTACAAACATCATTAATTCTGATATCTACAAGGATTTTTTAGTAAATAGTCTGGTCCCATTTACATGGAGGAGCATTTGAATTTCAATTAGAAAACCTTGACAGGTGCAACCTTTTTTGTGTGTTTTGTTTGTGGAATGATTTTGTGATTGGAAATTTGCTGATTTTCCTAGTTCTGTAGTTGGTTTGCCTTTCAAGACTTTTCAAACTGCATAAGTAAATCTTCCTCCATTACTCAGCAGTGATAACTGTTGAAAGTTGTGGATGTATTTACATTGCCTAAGAGTCTGTAAATCACAGGCAGGTACTTCTCAGACAAATGCTTGTGACAGGTAGAGTGCACCTGCTTGCTTAAAAGAGTTTGCTTCCTGGACTTTCACAAAAAGAAAAAAAAACAATCTGTAGTTTGATACTGTAAATTCTGTTCATAGCAAGATGACAGGAACAAAATGTGTGTATAATACACATTCAACTGTGTCAATAGCTAGTAGGGACTTGTGGACAAATCTTTTATAATTACAATGTACTTCAAAATTGTAAGACAGAAAAGTAATGAATGTAGCTTAAAACTCATCTTGAATATGTAGACTGAAGAAAGTGAACTAATTACTGTGTTTAGAAACAGGCATAGATTGACATTTGTTAAAGTTTTCATTTATCTTCTCATCTTAACTCATCTAAATGACTTTAAAAGTTTGTGGTAAGAAACAGCAGAATTTGATCGGAAAGTTTTTCAGGCAATGCAAAAGTAGCTTGTTAAGGTTATTTGTGATAATGTTTTATTCCAACAGAGAGCAGCCTTTGTTTTCAATCAAAATAAGTTAGGAATACAGAAAAAACAAATGTATATAATAGGGTTACTGTATTGTATTCCAAATTTGTAAAAATTACTCCATTTTATGGTTCATTGTATGGTTATTATTTACATAAATTACAGCCTTATCTAGATGTATTTGCTAGTCTTAGGATTTGAGTGTTCAACTATGCTGAACCTTTGAAAACTATAGGAGATGGCACCTTTTCTGAAGAGTTAGATTTTTAAACCAGGAATCAATAGAACATGTAACAACATCAGTGAAGAGAGATAACATGGTATATATGATTGTATAGGATATATGTACTCTACCAAAAAATATGGGGAATGTTCCCCTTTTTTTATATTTTTTATTTTTAAAGAGGAATAAGTAAGTATATGGCTATTTAGTTATAAAATCCTTCTGGAGAGAGACACCTGGAGTTTTTGCAATGATGTTACTTAGACCAGGTCAAAAGTGGATGAAAGTTTTATCTTCCCTTAGTTTACTTCACGATAACATTTCTGGAACTTGTCTCCACTGGGTTATTGCGGCAGACAGTTAATATGAATTGATTACCGATGTTACTTTGATATACAAGTGTTGGGATTAGCCAGTCCACTTTTTATTTAAAAGCAATATCTCAGGCAGTGAACTGCCACACCATAAGAGTAGGTTTGCATGGTTGAGTGATCTTGATGCATTCACAGTTGCAGCGTTTTAATCACTGGATGCAAACAGAAGTAGACAGCCATAACCATTAGTGGTCCATCACCCTAATTATTTTCTGTCACATAGAAATCTGTTGTTTGCATATTACATTAAAATTTCAGTAGTAAAACTTTGTTTTCAGAGATTTGTAAAATGATGACTTTAAGAATGCACTGAATTAAAATTGTATAAATTAATTTGAAGAAAAAATATGCTCTTGAAAGTGAAGTATTACTTTAAATACGGGTTTATTGCTACTGTGACTTTTAATTACTTTACACTTAAATAATGTGATCTTTACATTTTACAGATGAAAGCCCAAAAGCTGATAAACCCAAAGTAGATGAGGAGTGTGATGAAAATGAAGAAGATAAAGACTATCACAGGAGTGACCCACAGATTGCTATCTGCCTTGACTGTTTACGCAACAATGGGCAGTCAGGAGATAATGTAGTCAAAGTAAGTAGTAAAGATAATCTGTGCTGCTGTTATTGTTGGCAGAATAACATCTTCCAGGCACCAAATCATTTTATAACCATTGACAATAAACTTTAATGTGGTGACCTGTCTCCACTTACACGCTCATTGAGTCCTTTTGTTTGAGGCATTTCAATGCATCTTGGAATTTTGTAAAAAATACAGTTCTGTACAGAAATCCATCAGTGACAGTGGATTTTATTATTTTTTTAAATGGATTATAGTTTTGTAGTCTACAGCCTGGATGGTGTATAGCTGCATTACACAACAGATGACAGCATGGCACAGAGGTACTTAAAAAGCTAGCTGTAGGGGAGCTGCCTCCCCCTTTCAGGACTGCTTCTTACCGTGCCAGCATGAAGCTGCTTTCCAGTTGGGTTGTGCGCTGAATTACTGGGATCCAGGTCTTCTGAGCTGTAAACCTGATTCTGAGACTGATGTTTCATCTGTGGCCTGGGGCAGGTCACTTCCATCTGTAACGTGTGTAGAGTAATACCTGCTGACTGTTGTTTTTAGAATTTAGGGATACTTGGTTTCTATTCCTGAAGGCAAGATTACCTAATGGTATTGGATCTAGAAGAAAGTGTTAGAAATCCTCTCAGATTTTAATATTTTATTAAATTACGAAGACAAGAATTAAAAAAAGTTTAAAATTTGTCTCATAAATTACTACTTATATTTTCTGTTACATGTATAATTTTGGAAGTTCTTACATGGTGAGAAAGTTTTGATTCAGCAAGAAAACATATGTATGTGTTATCACTGTCTATTTATGCTATATACAGTAAGAAATCTGTATCCCTGTCACCATGTAGGAGTCTCAGGTTTCCAGCTTTCCTGTTGAATCAAAACTATTAGGTTCTGGATCACAGAATCTGTGATGATAGATCACATCTCAGGTTTATAGCTTCCCTGTATTTTACCTAGATTATTTGAGGATGTTTTAACTTCCTTTTTCTCTGAAGAACTGAAGAAATTCTAAGAAATGTAACATCTGTTTGGCCCCCAGCGTTACTAACACAGACACTTAGATTATTTAAGTTCTTCTGGGGCTTTGGTAGTTTTGGTCTTTTTTTGTTGTTTTTTTCTTTCCTGCCTTCTGTATCTTTTGGAAATTTCTTTACAACCAGAGACGGGTCAAATGAACTTGTTTGTCATCTTGTAAATTTTGCAAAAAAAGTGAATAAAAATGAACCTGTGGTGCCATGATGAATGAAGAGAATGCAGTAAAATTGGTTACTCGTTGAAAAAAATGCCAATTACAGCTGTTCTTGTACTAAAGATTGCTTACATGCTCCGAAATTTCTAACATGCTCTTTCTGTTTTGTTGCTGTTGTTTTAGGGTTTAATGAAGAAATTTATCCGCTGTTCTACTCGAGTGACCGTGGGAACTATCAAAAAGTTTCTCAGCTTAAAATTAAAACTTCCAAGTTCTTATGAGGTACATTTGAAAGAACGATGCTTATATTTTTATTTCCCTTCAAATTATTAGGTGTTCATGAAATTTAATCATATTTGAACTGAGGAATATTTTTTTTAGCCCAATCAGTGAGTACTGTTCGATATTCCAAGTTACATTTTCTGCCCTTAAATGAGAATTGATATCACAGTGACTAAAATTGCTAATCAAGGAACTCGTATGGTTCTAGTCACTTCAGTTTGTTGCTGTATCCTGTGAAGGATATTTTTATGATATTTTTGTTCGAAGTAAATGCTTTCTCTTTCTATGTGGCTAATAAAAAAGTCACTTAATAGAGTTTTGGGCTAGTAGCTACTGCAGAAAAGGAGAGATCAACTAGACATACACCAAATTACTCCGCAGTTTCATTTTCTTCAGAGGTAAGAAACTATCCTGTAATTATGAAGAAGTGCGGAACGATGCCATTTGAATCTTTCAAAATGCAGGGTGGAGCTGGGAAGCATGAGAGTCCTGCCTCTGCTTTCCCTCTTCCCATGGATACGGCAATATTGACCTCAGCGCAGTCTATTTCTTCAGCCAGTCCTCGGACAGGACAGGACAGGACACAACGGGCATCATCCCGGCTTTGCGCAGAGGCAGGGCTCAGTCAGGGTAGGCGCGCAGGTTACTGCAGAGCTACGCGCAAGAGTTTGTTGCAGTATTGTGACGTGCCGACCAGCCATTTTGAGGTTATTTGGTTTTGTTAATTATGTTAAGTTAATCTGTCTCTGGCTTGTGTTACATAGTATCTGCTTACTTCAAAATTTTGGCATTTTTTTCCACTTAAAAATGGCTATAGTAGTGAAAGAATTGTCAAACGCTCTCAGTGGAGGGTAAAAGTAAGATGCTAAAATACAGTTTAAGCCAGTCATTTTTTACAGTAAGGTTATCGCTTTTCTTAAATTTTGCCTTTAGTCCTTCAGTTAATCAAGAATCATGTTTGTATACTGAGAAATGCATTTTCCTTGTAATTTATGGTTATTTTTAAATTAAAAAAAATTAAATTACCATTTATTTTTAAAACCTGAAAATTACAGCACTTCCAGTTTGTGTCTTTGGGTTTGAAAGAGCACTGATGTAGCGAGGTGGCCTTCAAAATACAGCACAAAGATTTGTCTTCAAACAGATAGCATGTAGTATTGATAAATATAGGGAGAGTTTGTCTTAAGTAGCCTTTCTTCTGTCCACACCTTAACTGAAAACACGAAAGTGAAAAAATGAAGTGGAATACTACTGTACAGAATAGCATTTTGCCAGTATGGTGTGTTTATCCACATTCGATATATGTCGGATAGAATTATGTTATGATGATAGGAGTTGTGGAATTAACTCTCAGACATTCGTTTAGGAGTTCATTTAGACATTAATATTTTTCATCCCTTTGTCTTACTGTTTGTTCTGTTGTATTTTAAGCTGGATGTACTATGCAATGGAGAAATCATGGGGAAGGATCATACTATGGAATTCATCTATATGACGAGATGGAGACTAAGAGGCGAAAACGTAAATGTTGTTACATTATTAATAAATGATGTTTTGGTATATTTGATATAGAGGGTATACATGCATTCACAGCTTGGCCCAAAATATATGCTGTGACCCTTCAAATATCCCTATGTTTAAAAGTGCATTTTGCATGTTTTCTGGATTTCTCATGTTAAACCCTGTGAGTAAAACCCTGCAGCACGTATATTCTGGAGATTCTGAAACTTCAAACTAGCAGGTGTACAAAGTTTACATGCACGTTCTGCTCTGAGTTTTAAGTCAAGTATCTGAAAACCTCAGCGCTTGTTCTTTTTCTGCATGTTTGCTTTTTTAGTGACCTTTTGAGTTACAATAGTTGAGGAATCTGCATCCAGCAGTTTTTTATTAAGAATCTGTTTTATTCAGTCAGTAAACTGAAAGTGACACTGAAAAATTACTGTAGAAAAGTAATTGTTTTATTATTGTTGATGTTAATACTACACCCATGTTTTTTAGATACGCTGTATAACACACATCCAGATAGCACAGCTAAATGGGTTTTCCTTGCTGCATGTGCATATTTTAGAATTGCAATATTTAAATTTAAAGAAATTTCTTTCAGATCTGATAGTTTGATTTAGTAGCCCTTAATTGCCTTGTATATTTAATTTTTTTTTGTTAGAAATCATATTTCCATTTCTTCTCCTTCTTTTTGCTTGTATATGGCTGTTGATTGTTCTTCACTCTTTATTGGTTTGCGGTATATGCAGGTTTGTTGTCTATCACTACCAGTGGAGGCTATATTGGAGTGCAGCTAAGGTTAAGCACTTAACATATGTTAATTTACTGATCTGTACAAACTCTCTGTACTTTTTTTTTTTTTTAAGCTTCCTAGTGCTCAGAATAAAAAGCACCAGGGCATGAACAGAGAAGACAGAGGATTCACAAGTTTATTAAAGTTTTACCTTAATCTGAAGAGAGAAAAAGAAAAAAAAGAAAGGGAGATTTTGATAGGAATTAGGGGAGTTAATGTATATAGGCAAGTATTCATTAATTTTGAAAGTAATATTGCACTGCAATTTGATGACTGCTGAAACCCCAGTATTGGACCAATAAGGAAACTTTAAGTAGTATTTTTTCAATACTCCTTTGAAACCAGTTGTTTGGCTTACCATCTTATATTTTTGTTAGTATTGGCTGTACTATTAGGAAATGCTGAGGCAACAACTTTAGTGATAATGGAATTCTTTGATGACATGTAATCCCGCAGCCCCTGCCTACGAACGGACTTTTGGCAGTTGCATTGGTTTAGAAGCAATAGTAACCATCCTCTTGACAAAAGGGACATTATTTATACCGGTTAAAATTTTTCAAAAATCTCAGACCTATAGTTTTTAAATTTAAGTGAATGTAAGAGTTCACAACCCTTGATTAAATTTATAAGTTGTGTTTACATACACATTGTATAGTCAGATATGTGTTTGTGTTTTCATTTATGTAGTTTTAAATCACTCCCCTGAAGTCAGAGATAACAAACTAAAACCTGTAAAAATTACACTGTGCTGGTGATAAACCCAGTAACATCTGTACTTCTATGATTTTGTTTTCCCTAACTGTATTGGGTCTTTTTATAAAACAGAAGTTACGATGGTAATTAATTCACAATATCTTCTTTTGGATGAAGATCAAGTAAATCCATTATCTCCATATTTGGTACTATTCACTGTGAGCTTTTACTGGCACACCTGTGGACCTTCCATGAGGTAGAGTAGTAAAGGGAAAATATCCACTTATTCCTTAGAGAAGTATTTCCTGTTTTAAATAAGTAAATTAATTTTAAACTTTACATTTGAAAATTTAAAAAAAAAAAAACCAAAACATTAAACGGTAAATGTATATGTCCGGCTGTGAATGCCTCTTATCTGATCAGAAAATCATCTCCTTCGCAGTTTCGGTGTCAGAACTGCTCATCTTCGCAAGTCTGCTCACAGGATGGCACTTTTTATCAGGTAAGAGGCACTCACGACTGTACATACTACAGTCATTAAGGTCCTGTCAGCACTTCAGTTGTAATCCAAGTTGTGGAGTTTTTGTAATTCCTCACTACAAAGTGCTAAAACTCTGACTAAGGTCTGAGTATTTTCATTCCTTCAGAGAAAGCTTTATTGATTGAATGATTAAATAGAATCCTTTCAAAAGGTTTAGGGGTTTCTTTTACTTTGCATTAGGCCATTTATCCTTTCGTTAGAGACATACCCTTCTGTCGGCTGATGTCCGCATCAGTCTGGAAGGGTTGTCTTAACTCTTCTGATCTCGTCCTCCTAACTAGTAGCATTGGGCAGTCACTGACGAGGGATCAAAACTGAAGAGTGTGACTCAAAAGAGACTACATTGGTTTCATCTTTTTATGGCAATTCATATGTTCTTTTTAATGGAGTAAAGAAAAGTTTTTTCTAATACTGTATTCCTGTCACATCTTTTAAAATTAGAAATGGAATAACGCCTTTTGTCTAGAATACAACAAACCAAAACCTTGGTTTCATCTTTTTATGGCAATTCATATTTTTAATGGAGTAAAGAAAAGTTAGATTTTTCTAATACTGTATTCCTGTCGCATCTTTTAAAATTAGAAATGGAATAATGCCTTTTGTCTAGAATATAACAAACCAAAACCTCTAGAACCTGCAAACTGAAGTTGATTTCTAAATTTCATTGATCAAACTGGTTTATACCTATATGAAATAATATTGTGGTTTCCTCGCTGAGAATTTTGGTTTGAACTAATTTCTAAAAGTTACTTTGGAAGTTTGAAATAATATTTTTGCTTGAGCAAAAAATTAAAGTTAATGGTTAAGGGTCACTCCCCACTATGGATGGGAGTGACCTACTGCAGTCATGCCTACTTCAATAATTAGAATTGTTCCAGCACAGTGCATTTTATTTATACAGTTGGTTTGTAATTTTGTTTGCAAAACCACCGAGCCTCACTGGTTTACATGGTAATTTCAGTGAGATGACTGCTCTGCCTCTGCCTGTGTGCACTTCCCGTTAGAGTTGCATGCTGTTAGAGACCATTTATATAGTCAAAGTGAAAAATATGTGAAATAGCATTTAAATAATATGCTAGTCGTATCCTATGCAAAAAATCAGAGAGCAAGGATACTACAAATATATGGGTTTTTTAATTGTACATGCAGACTACACGTGGTGCTCCCTGTCTTCTCTCCTAAATGCTCCTGCTACTGTTGAACTCTGGGTTTATGTTTTTTCTCTGCACTCCAGTTTGTAAATCCCCAGCAAGTAAGATCACATTTAGTTCTGGTGATCATTTCACTACCACGGCATGGCAAGTTTATTAACCTGTATAGGTCTCTGCAGTGATAGCTTTCTTTTTTGGTCACTGAAGTTCATCTGTATTGCTTTTGAAGAATGCAGTAAAATATTTCTGGGTTTAATTATAACTTCTGTAATGATCCTTTATAATTCCAAATTTGCAAGAAAAAAGACTTAGCTGTGTCCCTCTGCCCTCTGGCAGAGAGGCAGTTAAGCCCATACAGTTGCTGAGACAATAAGATTTTCCTGGGTTTTTTGCTGTAAAAGACTTCCAGTAGACTAATGAAGTTAAGAGGAATACATCAAACTTAAATGAAATGCTGACAGACTGAAAAAATAAGACATCTAGTAAAACAGAATTTCCAGCAACAAGTGCCTAGGTATTCCACAGCACTTTCTGGAAACCCACCCACTCTTGTCTCCCGTTCCAGGACAGTTTTGTCCGATTCAGGGGTCCAAGCTGTTGATTTGCCATTTTTTTCCCAGTAAGAACTAATAAAAATATATCACTAGATCTGCAATTGAGGAGTTTGGATTTGGGGGAGAACTTAGCCCTCATCTCAGAAAATCAGTCGACAGCAATTTGACCTGATCTTTTTTCTTTTTTTCTTTTTAATACCAGAGTAGCCTGGTTCCCACTAAGCACTACTGACTACTAGTATAGCTATGGAACCCCCATGTAAATAAAAATCAGTCAAAGTACATAATCTATAAATGGACTTTGTTTTAAAACGTGTAAAATTTCAAGATTGCTTTTCCTCAAACACAGCAACACAGAAATAAGAGTAGTTGTTTGAGCACACCAAGTATATGTTGTAAAACCTATAAATCATTAAATATATAAAAGCAGATACAGGAATTTTATATTAATGACAAATAACTACAACTAACTGACTTAGAGATTTAATATAGATTTGAAGTACAGGTATGGATTTAGCTGTTGAAATGTATAGAATTATTTCATATAGATGAAACTGATTGCTATAGACGTGTCTTAGGGATAAGCTCTGTCTAAAAGCAACTTTTAACTGCATTTCCTTTGTATTTTTTATGAATTATGTCTTCATGTTTTCTTGTCTGTTTTTGTTGTTGTTTTGCTGTTGTTTTTGTTTTCAGTCTTACCCTATGGTACTTCAGTATCGACCTAGAATTGACTTCGGTTAGACCAAAGGGCCAGATCCCACTGAGATGAATCCTGCACTATTTGTTTACCCATCGACAGATTGCACAATGAATGGATGTGCCTGGATTAGGGGGACACAACCAGATTTTCAGCATGCAAATAAGGACATTGTCTTTCTTAAAATTGTCAGTTGCATCTCTGTTGTTTCTATTAGAGCAAGCCAAGTGCCATTCTGCTACTGAAATGTGCATAAGATATTTGTGTATCTTACGAGTGTGCTGCAAATCATAGCCAAAACCATGAAGTGTACAGTCAAGATTCAAAACCTATGGAATATTTTTGCTTGCGTGTTAGAGAATTTTTTCTGGTCCTAATATTGATTACACTAGCAAAATGGCAGAGTGCTCATTCCATGTGGTGTTGCAGTTTCACACACTTACTATTTTACTGAATATTGTTGTTTAAATCATAGAGTACTGTAAAAATAACTAAGGATTATACCTTGAAAATATTTTGTATAGAAAATATATTTAGAAGAGTGGTGATTGGGCCACTACCTTTTTCTTGGTAAGCTTCTCATGGGTCCAGGTATAGCTCACTCATGAGTGTGCAACAGTCCTTTTGCAGTGAGTGAAGATTAATTACCTTTCACAAGAGATGTAGGACGGGGTAATTCAAAACAGTAATTTTACATCTTCTAAACAGATTCTGCTAATATTGCTTAAAAGCATTGCAGCCTTTGTGATTGCACTTTTCTATGGTTTCCCTAAAGATTGGAATTTGGGATAGTAGCTATTTTTGGAAAATGGCTTCTGGTCAGATTACATTTCTTCTAATAAAGCCTCCATAAAAAGGAAGTTAAAAATAATGTGTCTGTGGAACAAATAAATTTCACTGTAAGATTCCAGCCGAGGCAAAATTTTACATAATTGTTGCCTTTCATAATAAGCATTTCCTTTTAAGATTGGGTGGAGGTATATAACATGCTCAAACAAAAATAATATATAGCTTTAATTACATTATGTATCTCTTGTGACTATCTGGAGTTTAGCATTCGTTACGGAAATTTTCATTCATATTTCCATAAAATTAGAGGTAATGCAATACTGAAGATAAGCAGTCTGACCAAAACAATTGTTCAGGTCTTGTTTTTCCAAAGACCTGGTAGCGCTGGATAAAAAGTGATTGTTGCCTTAAGTATTGCAAGCGTAATGGTTCTACTATAGAATGCTCGTTGAGGTTTCTGGTAATGTTGCAGGGAGCATATTAATGCATATGTTTTCTGTAGTCTTCCATTGTCTTTGCTCTGCTTAAAACTTGGTTGAGTTTTTCACTTCAAATTCTGTGGAGAAACTTAGTTCAGTACCTTTATGTAATTTCTACTTAATACACGCCTGCTAGTATTGTAGACAATTATTTACTTTCTTATGCCTTTTGCATACAGCAAAAAGGAACCAAATCAACTTTTCAGAAGCTACTATAGAGTGAACTAATCGTACTTAGATAAGACAAAGTGAAAATTCTGTCTTGGGATCAAGTATAAAAGATAGATGCAAGGCTGTAAGTCCTTTGTAAATTGTTGTTCATGCACATTAGTACATTGTGGGGGGGGGCGGGAAGCATGTTGTGAATTAAATCTGGCCCCTTTAATGTTAGTGGGAGTTCTAACGTTGATGACTTGAGGAATCCACATATAGTGGGGTTAACTTCTACCATTGCACTCCAAAGCCCATATGACATGCAGAAATCAAGATGCTGTGGGCAGCAGTCTGCTTAGGAAACCTGCCATTGCAGGTCGAGGTTGCACATATTGTGCAGATGCCAGAGAAGCTGGGGAAGCAAAGCGTTGAGGAAGCCACCGCTCCTTTCTGCGGGCGTACTGCGCTGCCTGGGACGGGCGCTGTGTTCCCCACAGAGCAGGAGGGAAGCGGTGCCCATGCCGGCTGCAGGGAGCCGTTATCAGAGTCCCTAGGGAAAAATAGATGCGTTGTGTATATAGAAGTCCTCCTCATGGAGCAGGTTGGAAGAGCAGAGCATGCGTTCTCATTGCAAATCATTCTTCTCTTTAGTATATACAGTTGTTTTGTACGGTAGAAACAGGATATTATTTGTAAATATTTACATGCACATACAAATGACACCTGACAGTTTTTATATATTTCATGTGTTTTTATACCAGAATTTTCACTGTAGATGCACTTGAGATGAAACGCCTGTTTCAGTTTATCACAAAACTAATGGTAGGACTCAGCATAATTTCTGCTTGGTTCAGGGGACAATTTTTTCTCGATAATTGCGCTTTCTGTTCTGCCAAATATCAACAGACTTGTTTTAAAAAGAGGAGAACACAGTATTTTTAATCCGTTTTCAGTTAACTTACAGAGAAGTTTGCACCCACCTAACAGGACCCCTGAAATAAGACTACTTTGGATTCGCTTCTGAATGACAACTAATAGGAGATTTGACTGCTTAATGACTTCCTGTATTCACAGTTCAGAGAACCATGAATTTCTCTTGATCAGAATTGGACATTGGATAATTCATGGTATTTTCTTGATGCAACTTAAAGCTAGATTACAGAAGGCAAATCTTCATTTTAAGCGTGAAAAATACCGACAGATGTGATTTAATGTTCCCAGCTGAGAATCATGGCATTAAATGCATATGATCTAGCCACCTACTCTGTATGCATTTCTGATTTGATGGCACAGTGCCTGAGTGCTGTTATAGTTTACTAGTTTTTGTAGCAGTGAAGTGCCAGTGAAATACATATCTTAACAGGGCAGCCTGTATAACACAGGCACTGCCTTTTTTACAGGAAATTTCTCTTCCGTATAGTATGTATGTGCCATGTGTCTACAGAAATGCACGTTTCATTTGTTTGTGCCAATTAAGAATATCTGAACAGCTTAGGAATATGAGAATGCGTGTACAGATTCCTGTGTGCCAAAGATGGGGTGAAGTGAAATGAGTACGTAAGCATTCCATTAAAACTGCACCATATGCCATCCTAGAGCAGATTACTGTATACAGTCACACTTTCTGAGCATTTCCATGACAAAGTGACACCACTGCATGTTTGTAAAGAATAGGAATATAAAATAAGTGTTGCTGCCACTGTGTTTCTATGGCTTTCCCATATTGGCAGTACCTAACTACAGAGGAATAAGATCTAAAAAGTTCTGCACTACTACCTAACCTTGCTGTCTGTTATTTAGCACATTTGGTGCTTTTTTTTCTTCCCCTAAAAGTGAAAAACTTGTATGTGCTTTTAACTCTGGGGTAACTCATTAATGAAAATCATAAGCAGCTTTTTGTTGAGCGTAGCTGTGTGTTGCATTTGTCTAGTAACAAACTAAGCTAGAGTTTACAAGAGAGATCCTATAATATCTCAAACAATATGGAATTAGATGATTAATGAAGAAATGTATCTTCTATGATGCATTACTACACTGCTCATAGCTAAGGGCCTAGTCCTATAAACATATTTTTATTTGGATGAAATACCAAATAAGATTACTGTAGTAATCTAAGTGACTCATCGCTATAGTAGGTACTGTTCCCATGAAGGCTTCTAGGGTTTGGGTCCTAGGAGTATGCAACGCTCTAAGTATACTGTGCATACTCAGCTAGCTTGCAGTTGTTACGCAAAAAAGATCTCTAAAAAGTATTATTTTGACTTTACTGAAAATGTTATATAAAGCAAAGTGCCTGATTATTAATACAGAATACGTTTTAAGCCCATTATTTGCATTTGGCAGGGTAATATTTGCTTCTGTATTTTATCTATATTTTCAGCAAGAATATTTCATAAACATGCTATATTGAGAAGCTGTCTTTCATGGGAAACAAGCAGAAAAAGAAATGAGTTCTGTTAGATAATTTAAAATTGAAAAACCTATCTCTGTAGAAACTTTATGAAAAGAATTACTTTTATATTGAAATTATTTCCTTTTCTGCATGAGGAACCCTTGAGTTCTGGATCTTGGTCTTTTTTCTCCTTAGGCTCCAACAATTTGACTTGACTTTTCTCTCCTGCTGTTATTGAAAACAGTTCCAGTATATCTGTAGGAGAGAAGAGATTGATCACATTCCGCTGAGATATAAGCTAGGCTCTTGCTTTCCGCTGCAGGCAAAGGGATGGTATAGAGTTCCATCTCATCTCCCACGCGTGTAATTGTTAGACATGACTTTGTGAGAGAAGTAAATAATTTTTCCTTCTCTGCTGTTTTCTAAAATAACAAAATAGGCCAGGGTTTAGTCCTTTAATTGAAGCAATCACTGAGTTGTATTGTTCCATTTGTGTTTTTTTTACATTTTCATGTCACTGAAGACACCAAGAGGCATTCACTCCCCAGAAAAAATATCCTTGGGAGGACTTGCAACAAAATGACTAGCATCCAGCTCAGCCAGGTACCATGGCTGGTAGAAATACTAGAGAACAGATAGTTGTTCAAGGCCAGTCTTATGTCTCAAAATAAACAGACTGAGCGCTCTTTCTAAAGGGACTACCTAAAATACTGGTCAATGATATGGACTGATCAAACGCATTTTTATCCTGGAAAAGACCAAAGGCAGTTAAGACTTATATGCCTATCCATGGCAAATATATAAACATAGAGATGCTTAAATCAAGAGCTTGGTCCAGTTTCTTCACTTAACCTAGACAGGTTGAAGGCATCTGTTTGATTCCACGCAAAATGTTTGTAGCTTGCAGGATATTCCTCTCATTTTGCTTCATGCAATGTTATTTTATTATTTATCTCAGTTAAAATATCTATCCAGACACCCTCTGTCCGGTAATTAATTCTAGGTTCTTACACATCCTTTGCCCGTTCCCGTACCTCACCCCATTTCATGCCCAACAAGTAGAAACATTGAGGAGCTATAAAGGAGAAATTGCACATGAGGAATCGGCTCACAGGTTTAGTTCCTCAGGCAGCTCTCGTGGATTGCAGCAAAGTTTTCAGAGGTCTGTGTTTGAATCCTTCATAGCCAGTTTGAACAAAGTAATGCTTCCGCAAGGTGTTCAGCTAAAGATACTTGTTTGAGGAAGGTCTGCAGTGTACTAGAGCATGATCCAGGATGAATTCCAAGACAGAAGGGGATAGATTCACCCTAAAGGGAATGTGAAAAGCTTCCAACTGCTCATTTACCACTAGTTGTATCACATATGGGTAGTCTGGCCCTCAGACCTCAGCTGCAACATCTTTCTGTAGGAATGTCCTCCAAAAGATGATCTTATAATGGTAATATATTTTTCTTCATAAGCAGATCTACCTGTTGAGTTTTGTTGGTTTTTTAACTACTGTCTACACTGTCTGTAGGTAAGATTAAAATATCAGATTCCAGAGTAGGAAATGGGTTAATTGATGAATTCCTGACAGGCTCTTCCATCCATGGTACGTGCCATAAATAATCTTCTGAATTCAGGTAGCGTGCTACTGCAATTGAGTGAGGATGTTGTTTAATTCTCTAGTGAGTGATTTAGATCGGTGCAGTTCTGGAGTGTGGCAGTGAGACAGAGGAGCTCTGTAGATGGCTGGGAACCTCCCGGCTACCTTTGGTACTTGCAGAGAGAGACCCAATTCTGTAGGCTCACCATGGAGGAAATGTTCCGGAATGAAAGATGTCTACAAGTGGAAGTTTCTTGTGATTACATTAATTTTAACCAAAGAGAGGCATTAGTTTGACTTTGCATGTTTATCTGAACTGTTAGGCGTACTTTTCTTTGAAGTAACTTTTCTGTGTATTTTTAGCAAATGCTTCTAACAAGGTTAATAATGTGACAGTTGACAGAGGTAGTTACTGTGCATTTTCCTTTTTCCTCATGATGGTGAGTGGAAAGCAAAGTGAGGGTCGAGAGT